ACAGAATTAATGTTGAATTTTGCAGACAAGTTAAAATAAGAAGGATTTTTGCAGACAAGTTAGATATTAGAACAGAATATAAAATGAAAGGGGAAAATAAGAAAAATCAGTATTTCGCAGACAGAAATAATGTTGAATTTTGCAGACAAGTTAAAATAAGAAGGATTTTGCAGACAAGTTAGATATAGAACAGAATATAAAAATGAAAGGGAATTATTTGAAAAATCAGTATTTCGCAGACAGAAATAATGTTGAATTTTGCAGACAAGTTAAAATAAGAAGGATTTGCAGACAAGTTAGATATAGAACAGAATATAAAATGAAAGGAATTATTTGAAAAATCAATTTTTTTTCGCAGGCAGACAGAAATAATGTTGAATTTTGCAGACAAGTTAAAAATAAGAAGGATTATGCAGACAAGTTAGATTAAGACAAAAATAAAACATGACAGGAATATTAGGAAAATCTGTATTTTCAAGACAGAATTAATGTTGAATGTTGCAGACAAGTTAGAATAAGAAGGAATTTGCAGACAATTTAGAATATAAAACAGAATATAAAATGATGGGGGAATATTAGAAAAATCAGTATTTTGCAGACAAAAATAATGTTGGATGTTGCAGACAAGTTAAAATAAGAAGGATTTTGCAGACAAGTTTGATTAAGAACAAAATATAAAATGATGGGGGAATATTAGAAAAATCTGTATTTCACAGACAGAATTAATGTTGAATTTTGCAGACAAGTTAAAATAAGAAGGAATTTGCAGACAATTTAGATATAAAACAGAATATAAAATGATCGGGGAATATTAGAAAAATCTGTATTTTGCAGACATAATTAATGTTGAATTTATTATTATTCAATAATTATTTTCTTTACTTTAAATTAATTGTTGGTTCTGTATATCTACTATTAATATTCTTTATCCATTTATAGCCTTTTCAGTTCTTTGTATGACCTTTTGTCCTGTGTATTGTTAATGACATTCAATGATTAAAAGGTGTGAACCAATTAGTAATAAATGATCTGTACCAGTGTTTATTGTTATTTCAAAGTGTCAATACATGTTGTATATTCAATTTGTTTATCTATGTGATATTTTGGTTAAAAAAACTTGAATGTCAATGATATTTGAAGTAATATTACCCAGTATTATTCATTTATTACTTATGTTATGTTCTTATACATCTCAGACTATATTAGATTTTTTTTATGTTTTTAATAATTATGTGAAAAACTATTGCTAATAAATAAAGTTAAGATTGAAAAAAAGCTTTGAAAAAATTAAAGTAAAGAAAATAATTTTATTGATTAATAATAAATTCAACATTTTTTTTCTGTCTGCAAAATACAGATTTTTCTAAAAGTCACCTCAAATTTCATATTTTGTTCTATATCTAACTTGTCTGCAAATCCTTCTTATTTTAACTTGTCAGCAAAATTCAACATTAATTCTTCTGCAAAATACAGATTTTACCTTATAATCCCCTATCATTTCATATTTTGTTCTATATCTAACTTGTCTGCAAAATCCTTCTTATTTTAACTTGTCTGCAAAAATCAACCTTAATTCTGTCTGCAAAATACAGATTTTTCCAATAGTCACCTCAAATTTCATATTTTGTTCTATATCTAACTTGTCTGCAAAATCCTTCTTATTTTAACTTGTCTGCAAAATTCAACATTAATTCTGTCTGCAAAATACAGATTTTACCTTATAATCCTCTATCATTTTATATTTTGTTCTATATCTAACTTGTCTGCAAAATTCAACATTAATTGTGTCTGCAAAATACAGATTTTACCTTATAATCCCCTATCATTTCATGTTTTGTTCTATATCTAACTTGTCTGCAAAATCCTTCTTATTTTAACTTGTCTGCAAAAATCAACCTTAATTCTGTCTGCAAAATACAGATTTTACCTTATAATCCCCTATCATTTTTATTTTTGTTCTATATCTAACTTGTCTGCAAAATTCAACATTAATTGTGTCTGCAAAATACAGATTTTTCCAATAGTCACCTCAAATTTCATATTTTGTTCTATATCTAACTTGTCTGCAAAATCCTTCTTATTTTAACTTGTCTGCAAAATTCAACATTAATTCTGTCTGCAAAATACAGATTTTACCTTATAATCCCCTATCACTTCATATTTTGTTCTATATCTAACTTGTCTGCAAAATCCTTCTTATTTTAACTTGTCTGCAAAATTCAACCTTAATTATGTCTGCAAAATACAGATTTTACCTTATAATCCTCTATCATTTTATATTTGTTCTTTATCTAACTTGTCTGCAAAATTCAACATTATTATAAATTGTGTCTGCAAAATACAGATTTTACCTTATAATCCCCTATCATTTCATATTTTTTTCTATATCTAACTTGTCTGCAAAATCCTTCTTATTTTAACTTGTCTGCAAAATTCAACCTTAATTCTGTCTGCAAAATACAGATTTTACCTTATAATCCCCTATCATTTTATATTTTGTTCTATATCTAACTTGTCTGCAAAATTCAACATTAATTGTGTCTGCACAATACAGATTTTTCCAATAGTCACCTCAAATTTATATTGTTTGTTATAAGCATTATATACTGTCTCATGCAATTATTATGTTTTTATTTATATTCTTATTTTTTTTATGAAAGCATAAATTAAAAAAAAAAACATCAAATTAAAACTATATTTTTTTTAATTAAATAAAGTTTTGCAAATTAATTATACTTTCTAAATGGCATTACTTCAATGTAATTGCCCATTCACACCTTTTGACCAGTTGACAAGGGATTAAACATCCCCTATATAATCTATATTGTCTGCAAAGTCTAAAATCCTTCTTTATTTAACTTGTCTGCAAAATCCCTCTATGTTTAACTTGTCTGCAAAGTCGTCTGCAAAGTATACCATCCCTGAAAAGTGCCGTACGGCTAGACAATACAGTGTGTCCTGGCTAGTCGTACGTGACTCACGTACGGCTAGAACTTTTGGCTAGCCGTACGGGCCCGTACGGCTAGCCACTTCCAAAAACAAAAACAAAACAAAAACGTAGAATATGATGTAACCCTTTATCCCACTTTTTTTGTTGCCAACCGTTAACACACGATTGTGTTATTTCGTTACAAATTAGAAATTCCATAAGTTTAGACGCTCTTTACAGAAATATCAGGCACAAAGGGTTAACCGAAGGAAAATGGCTTTGAAATTTCCGCGATGGATGGCCTTTTTTGAACCGGCGATTAATTTTTTCTTAAAGAGTAAAAATTTTCGTAAAAAATAATCTGTTGTCAATCATTAGAGGTTCTCTACAGCAATATAAGGCCCACGAATTATGCTCTCGAGAATTACACGCAAAATGTTTGCTTCCTGTTGTTTACTTTTGGAACGGCGATTTTTCTTCAGTAAATAAAGCGTGTAATAAAGTGTAATTTTCGTACAAAACACCATTTTTCTATAGCTAACAGTTAAAAACCATTTATCTGATTCCGTTGCGGATAAGCCATTGAATTTGATAGTTTGGAGGATCTTGTTTACAGCAATATAAGGCAGATGTAAAAAGTTGCCCCGTACTTCACTTCCATGTTGTTAGGTTTTTCTGGTCCTTCGGGATCATTGATTCCATCACTTTAAGTGTTGAAAATTGAGTTACGCTCAAGCCGGTGTTAGGGGCGTGAGGGATGTTGCACTTTTTCAGTATCCCTCATCACAGACTCAAACAAACCGAGTCTGCAATGTTCTTATAATTTTGTTGTTATCAATGCTTCCGAGGGATCACACTTTTATTCCAGTTTTTTTTTTGCTTAAAATGATCGCTGGTATGGTCTCTTTTCGACCGGCTGTTTGGATTTTAAGTATATAAAGTGAAAGAAGATTTGTAAAAAGATCACTGCTGAAACTTGCGTTAGCTTTTATCATACACGAATAAAAAAAATATTTAACTGCAAACTTGTCACTTTCTTCAAGTTCTTTTCATACATTAAGAAAATTAAAACCTGCAGGTATAAAAGAACAGAGATATAATATATAGGATTATCTCCCGTTGACCATTGTCCAACTTTACCAAAAAGAGCAATTACGTCCCTTTTTATTTTAACTGTTACTCTCACGGTATAGTATGTCAGAAATGGATATTTTTTCAATTGATTAATTATAGTAAGATAGATAACTTTTAAAATCGATTCGGAGTTCTTTTTATTAACTAACAGTCCATTTGATATTTAAGTTGACAAAAATACAAGTATAACATATACTCCTGATTGAAGTAAGATAACTTCTATACATAATGGTTTCTTCTTTTCTTTCAAATGCATGTCAGGAGCGCTGAGATCAGCGAGGAAAAATTCCTTTCCTAACAACGTGTCTTACAACGTTACGTGTACGAAAAAATGAGATTGACTGTACCAGGATCTAAAACCTCAATGTCATGTTTATTATTGGCTTTTACTATTATTTGCTGCTGAAACAATGGATATAATCATACATGGAAATTTACACTAAGATTCATTGACACTTTGTTACAATTATATGTGCCCGATTTCAAGTAATCAAACATATTCCTTAAGAAGATCTTAGCTTACCTATAAGCCATAATATGAAATAATCGGTGAACCAGTTTTGTCACTGTAACCACTGTTGCACAGCCAGTTGCAACTGTTCCTTGCAAAAATGTGCACATCTCAATTGCCGTACCTTTATGTAGAAAATGGACCTTTAAAATGTATGGTAACAATTATCCTTTTGCAAGAAATTGAATACACAGATGTCCTTGGGTGATATAAAAACGAGAGAATAAATAATGAATGGCACATTAAAAGACATTTGCAGATGACAAATTTTTGTCATATATATTCGCGAATGCAAGCATCTGATATTTTGACGGACTGTCAATGTTACAAATGAGTCGTCGTTATTTTTTGTATTATAACAATCATGATCATTGTCATAACAATCATGACCCATCCATTCATAGCAGTAATAAAGCAAACATTAAACTGTGTTTTTACTTTTATTTTTAGCTAAAAAAGCTGATATAGAATAGAATATAGAAATGCTTATAATTATTTTTTACTAGCGTCTACATTCAAAGCTCACTATTATTACTAAGTATATCAATACTCTGATATAAAATGCTATTAATAAATGTGTTCATTTCCTTTATGTATCAACTGACGAAGCTAATAAAGCGAAACATGTATTGATATCTAAATTTGTGTTGGTTTTGATCTATTTGTCCTATCCTTAATAAAGTATAGAATTTTACAAATATCTAGAACTTTCATGTTTTTTTTTTCTATTGTTTTTATTATTTCAATAATTTTCACATAGATATAATTGCTATTCTTGCATTTGATACACACATACATCATTACAGAATCGCTCCATAACCAGCAAACTACCTGTATCCCAGTAACTCTTCACATGAATGGGCTTACTTAGACCAGAAATAATCTGTCCAAGTCGGTCTCCAGATCTTGGAATTTGATGAACATTTGCTGAAGATAAACCGCAAATAAAAATGTTCCCATCTTCATCTTTAGTGCAGCTAGTTGCTTTCCTCAAGCCAGGGTCCATGTACATGCTTCTCACTTGACCTGAGGAATCTATTATCACCAGACAGCCGTTGATATCTTCAGAGTCACCTTCACCTTGGCAGCAGATGTAAATTTTATCTTTTGTATCAACACACACTGATATTGGCCATTTCATATTTGGATCTTGCGAGCCTAAGCTACACGAGATAAGTTCTGTCCCTTTCTTATTGTAAAACAGGATCATGTGATCATCACTATTAGTCACGGTAACAAGTTTCTCGTCCACATAGTCCAATCCCCAGCATTCCAGTCGAGTGTGAATACTGTCAGCAGTTTTCATTCCATCTTGCAGACTTAGAAAATGGATTCTCTTATCCTTTGGCACTGTTACTGCAACCTGGTTATGTGATAATGTAGTTGTGTCGAATGATGCACCGTCGGTTTTGAAATCTGACATGAGATGGAAGTCTCGATCAAGGACTTTGAGTTTTTTGTTGTTATAATCAACTAGCACAAGTCTGCCATCTGGCATTACTGTTGAACCTGTTATATCACATGGGCTCTTGTCATTGTGCATCCTCACTCCAAATGAACTGACCTTGACAGCACACATTTCTACAGGAGTTCGTTTAAACTGCTTGCCTTCCTTTTTGGGAGTTGCAGGAATTGTGACAATTGGTGGCGGTAGCGGTGGAATATCAAAACTGTTCTCCTCTGATATAACATCAACTGCATCTTTCAGCATGACCACACAGGCTTCCATTTTAGCACTGATCTATTAATAGAAATTTTTGATTTTATATGACATACTTTTTCCATTCTACAACGTCAAACAATTGAAATCCAATTCGATATTTACATTTCCCTTCATTTTATTAATACGTATACGGTTCTTATCTTTTAAATACCAGAAAGCTGTGCCATTTTGTCAAGCAAATATTAAATAAATACCACAATACATCTCCTATGTTAACATTTGTGTGAATGTTAAAAGGTAAAGTGTATCCGAATTTTTAATGGGGCGAATATCGTTAGAAGTGTTGCAATGAAGGAATCAAGATGAAAACGTTTGGTTTTTTTGTGTCAGAAAAACTGCACTTTTAGATATTATAGAATTAAAAAATATCCTCTATTACAATGAAAGAAAATGTTGCAAGACTTTAAGGAAAATATGATTTCTTACTTCACAAAACCAAATATATGAGACAGAGGTCCCACTTGTGTTTAAAATAACTGACAATAAACAAAAGCTGAGCAAGGTGGGGTCAGGGGCTAATCTAAGAGTATCCATGCATCTGCCATTGGCAGTCATATTTGTTACATTCCTGTCATTCAAAGACAGTCCATAATCAAGGGATTAATTTTTTATTGCATAACTCGGAAGTAGAACATTTAGATACATATCTAAACATTAATGTTAAACGAATTAATGTACGATATTGCATAAGCTTTTGTATTCATTGCAATGCGATTTCGGCTTGCTCAATGACAACATAAACAACTATTGAGAGTAGAAAAAAAATCAATGAATACCTGTAGTTTAAAGTTTGTCACTGGTAGTGAAATGTTTCCCATTTCCATGTCCACCATTTTGAGGTTTGCCTCGGCTGTACGCAATGCTAACAAACGTTTAGATGGTATATCTGATGATTTAGCGTCATCTATTTCAGAAAGGGAAGTCTGTACATCAGCTATCAACTCCTGAAACATAAGTTACCTTACAATTACTTCTCATATGTTTCGAGGTTACTCGGGAGATGTGTAATTTGGTTATTGTCACTGATACTACGAGAAGGAGAAAAATTGAATTCCTAAAGAATGTCTAAAACAGAAAACTTTTGCAGGCTCGCTTAATTTAACCATGGACTATTATGGTATATGCAAACTACCACTCACGCCCCTCTTTCCCCACCCGTTCCGGGAGTTTAGAAACATTCGTAGATGTGTTTGTACGATAAGGTGATTATCATTGTTCAACCTAAATATAACAAGTTCATGTAATGCTACAATAGATATTTCTTTTTCTACAATCATCGGTCCATTATCTGAGTAATTAAGCATATCCATTCCTTGCATGAATTAGAGTATACAGTAAACATGAACATTTTTTTTTCTACCTTCCTCATAGGACCTCCATTTATTGGTTGATATCTTGGATATCTTATATATTTGCACCTTGCATGGGCCTTCTACCATTTTCTATACGATCAACTCATTTCCCTTGTAACGCATTGATTTTATGGGCAATATCGAAGTTATATGGACCAGAGATATCAATAAAATCTGGATAAAATTACATCGAGAGCAATTCAATAAGTAAAAGTGAAAATTGCCGACTCAGTTTGGTTGAGCTTGTGCATGGGTGGTATTAAAGATGCAACATCTTCAAGCCTCTAAAAATTATATCAAGAATGCAATGTGGCTTCTTATAAACTGTGTTGGTTTCCTCTACATTCCAATCTTTAACTGATAATCCTGCATCCACAATTATTTTTACAAATAGAATGATAGCATGGCTCTCGTGATTTGGGATTACAGTAAGTGTTTCGCACAATATATAAAAAATGCAACTTTGAATTGTTTACCTGATACCCGGTATTCTTTTATGTAAAGAGTACATAAAAGAGTATTTTGTAATCGGGTGACCTAACTTAAAACCGGTACCTTATTGGATCAGTATGTTTATTCTTTAGTATTATTTTTTTCTATTTCTAATAAACTTACTTCAAGCATTGTTCTTTGTTTCTGTAGACAAGAAATGCCCTGTTTCTTTAAAGTTGCACCCTTATTCAATATCCTTTCTTCCAGTGAATCAAATGCTGTATTGAACGTGTCTCTTAAACATGCTATTTCATTCATTAGAGCTTCTTCATCTTTGGAAACGCTTTCAATTTTGTTTGAAATTTCATCCATAACAATACCAATATGATTTTTGTACCGCTTTAAGTTTTCATTAATATCCCCACATTTTGTTGTGTAGTAAGTACTTTTTACATAGTCATTCATATCAAGAACACGGCAATGCTTGTGGGTGGTAAGAATACATTTGCTGCAGACAAGGATGTCGTGCGTGACGCAAACAAGGTCAGCTGACTTTTCAGGGTGGAGTTTGCATTTTGGCCAATCATCATTATGCTGCGTAATGGCATCCATCATCGAAAGTACCAAACGATTGATGGGGAACGCTACCACCTGTATCTCAATACTGCTAGCCTTCGGTAGTTTTGTGACACTCCGGCATACTGGGCATGGAAAGTCTGCATGGCTCTGTTCAAGACGGTCAATATTTGCTATGAGATTTTTCAGACAGTCATGGCAAATACTGTGTTGACAAGGTAACGTGCGAGGTTGGCGTAAAATTTCCTTACATACTGGACAGAGTAGCAAGTCCCCAATTGTAGATACCAATGATGCCATTTTGTTGTGTGCGTATTTCTTAATTCATCCAAAAATTAAAACGATTTGATTTTCCAATTTTCACATCTAAGTCACTGAAATAGAGGTTAATTGAGTAAAATTGCTTCTATAAGTTTCCTGCTAAATTTCGTTCTATGTTTAAATTCGCTAATTACTTTGCATTTTCCTCAGAAATTATGGAAAATGGAAATGAATTTTGATCAGGATACACTCAAAATGGTTTGTTGACTCGTATTTGTAGTATTTTTTACTAACTCCGCGCACAGCCTCTTTTTCATTATATAATGTACATCGTATCTCAATATTATATGGCTTCACACTTAAAATTTAAATCCAATTCCAATTAACTCTGCTTTTTTAACACATTTAACCAAAAAATTAAAAGTTTATTTTTTGGTTAAATTTCCTAAAATATAATAATATTTTCATTTCATTCCACAAATCAGTACTTTAATCATAGAAATCTTATGCGTTAAGTAGACTTTAAAGATTAACTTAAGCTGGCATAAAGATCATTTTGTCAAAATCTGATCTGTCAATAGCTCAGGCAATATATTAACGATATCTAACCTATACAAATGATATTGATTGATATCACACAATGAACCATACAATATATTTCAATATAGCATTTAGATTTCCACAAAACATTGTTGTGATCAAACTAAATGTGTTTTTTTATATATCCCAACCAGGCACAAGTATTTGTTTGTTATTATCAATTTGAAAATCAATGATTTTGTTCCATTGCCCGAATGAAAAGTTGTGAGAAATATTGTGTAAATATTATACTGATAAAAACGCTATTTGTGCCGTTATCGATATTTAAATAAACAATTGTTGCAGGCAGTCATCTATAAGCTATTGACACTACAAACTGGGTTTCAATCATTTTAAACTTGATCTGTATATAATCACATTTAAAATTTATAGACCGATCCAGTGTTATAACCGTTGACTTCAGAAATGAGATTTATTGATATATTTTATTGCTTTTCCTTTTCTTCTTTTTGATGTGACAGACCGGTCGTAAATATTTATATATATTATTTGTTTGAAAAAGATCGATGGTAGTTTTCTCCATGGTACCTGGCAGCCAGTAGAGAAAAAATAGTTACTGATATGTTGAAATTATATCTATAATTATATATGTGTAATTAATGTATACGTACATAATAGTTGCGCAATAAACTTCATTTTGAAATATGAAGAGATACTCATATTTGAATTTAATAAGACCATGTTTCTAGGCTATTTTTAACGCAATTAATTAAATTAAGATATTCTATAGGATATTACATTCTTATATCATTCATTAAATTCTGGTAACATTGCCATTTTAGATATCTATAATTAAACCTGCGACTTTATTATTTAAAGCCGCAAAAATCCCTGCCCTGGTAGGGAGAATTTTGTAGGCGTGTTTATCAGATAAATCATGCAAAGGACGCTGTACCTGTGCTTAATTTAGCTGATGTAAACAAACACTATAGCAGACGATAACATTAGTTGCTCCCTTCCTAGAGTAATATTTCAAGTTTCTACTGGAAAGTTAACACTGCCACGTGTATTTGTTTACAACCTGCAGTTCATGACCCCATTTACTCCGCCCCGGGATTTTCAAATTTTTGACAGTTAACTGATTTTTTTTCACAAAGTACATTTAAGTGAATCTTTTGTGATATTTTCTCTACCATTTTATTTCAAATGTTGCAAAGAAGTTATACAAAAAGTTTTTAGGCAAAATACTTCTTGGTTATTTTACTATTTCAAAAAAAGGATGTTAGATGTGAAGCATGTCAAAAATACCATGGAAATCTGCCCCAGCGCCATCTAGTGGCTTAAACCTGCAACTTGACTATTTAAGCCACGTGGTAGTGTTAACTTTCCAGTAGAAACTTGAAATATTACTCTAGGAAGGGAGCAACTAATGTTATCGTCTGCTATAGTGTTTGTTTACATCAGCTAAATTAAGCACAGGTACAGCGTCCTTTGCATGATTTATCTGATAAACACGCCTACAAAATTCTCCCTACCAGGGCAGGGATTTCTCCGGCTTTAATTAAATAATTAAATTAAACATTTAAATCTTTAACAGACATTTAAAAAAAAAAATGTGCTGTTTTGTTAATTGAATGCCGTGAAATTTATAGGTACATGCATGAGGTGTTGCTTTACATATATTTTCTGTAATTTTCAAAGTTAATAGTTACTTGTTTACTCTTATACATGTAACGCTAAATGTGTCTTACAGAGTAGTCTATATCGGAATATCAGACAAGTTGATGTACTCGTAAATAAAACAATGCACGGTAAAAAAATATTGTGAATGAATTTGTTCTGGAATAATGCAATAACCACTATAGTAAATGTAATAACAATCCATATGATAAACTACATCAGTTTTCACAGTAAACAATATGTGCAATAAATATATACAAGTGCATCCGAAATCTACTTGAAAAAAAAAATAGTATAGGAGACTTTGGTTGTCAAAAATTGACGAAGTTTTTTAATTAAGTAATATCTTAGTCTTAAAGTGAATACTTGAAGCCATGAAAAAAAAACTGAACATTTAGTTTATCTTGCAGTTTGACATGCTTATATCATAGATATATGACTCTTCCATGGTAGCATTTGCTGCCAAATACAAATGTATGCAAATTAACTCTAACCTTATATATGAATTTTCTTATAATTTCAGAACAACCGATGTTATAACATATTATTTCAAACATTTGGTTACATGAAATTGAATTAAGAAAAATTGTCAAAACCAAAATAATTAAATTCTACTATCTAAAATCTCCCCAATAATGACAAATTCAGTAGTTAATAATATGCTGATAGTAAAGCGTACTTCTTCAAAATGTTCTTGTATCGATGAAAAAATAATAACCCAGTGGGTCAGAATTCGGAACATCATTATAATATACAAAGAAAGGGAAACAACCTACTTCAATCATTAGAATATAGACTGCCTCATTGACACGCTATTTATTAGGTGAATAAAAAAAGGATAAAAATAAAAAGAATATGATATTTAAACATGGCACTATTACTTAAGCTGAACGATTAATTTAATTCCTTAAAGCTCGGCCATATGTTGAACATCAGAAAAGCTATTTTTATCAGAGAAACTGAAATTAGCGTAATTTTGTTAAAACAAAAAAATAAGATAAATAAACGAAAGCAAGAAATTTTCCCCATTGCTCATTGGACGAATGCATATATACTAGCTGAGGCGTGCACGCGGCGTCTAATTAACCGGTGTAAGGTATCCGTGAGGAACACTTACTGATTAAATAAATAATATTTTTGGCAGGGGTGTTTATTTCTTGCTTTCGTTTATTTATCTTATTTTTTTGTTTTAACAAAATTACGCTAATTTCAGTTTCTCTGATAAAAATAGCTTTTCTGATGTTCAACATATGACCGAGCTTTAAGGAATTAAATTAATCGTTCAACTTAAGTAATAGTGCCATTTTTAAATATCATATTCTTTTTATTTTTATCTTTTTTTACTTTTTGCTAAGCTCGCAAGAAATCAAACAATAAATTATTGTTTGATTTCTTGCGAGCTTAGCAAAAAGTGCATGACTTTGTGTGAGCTGTTATATTGTTATTTAGTGTAATAATATTCTAAAAGAATATCGATCATACCTTCTAATTATTTAGGCTGATTTACGCTATGTCGCTTTTTTCCCCTAATTTTATCGTCCTTTCGTTGTTTTTTTTTCGTCTTGAAAAGGCGAACATGGGAAAACACTACGATACGACATATGCGATGCAACGAAAATTCGACGCCAACATGAATAATTCTAGTTTAAACGAAATTCGTTTCCTGCATTTTACTGAATGTAACTTCCGTGGTATTTTTCACACAAAGAAGATGACAGAAGGTTCAAAGCATGTTTTTGTTTATAATTATACAGAGCTTCAGATATTGTTTCGACATTGCGTTCAATATAATTATAATATTTTAATGCATTTCTAATGAAACATGTTCGTTCATTCGCATAACTAAACACGATTTTAATTACCGCCCAAATTACATTACATGGCAAGCTGCCACAATTGCACCACTTAATTAAGCCGTAAAGATTCTTTTTGCTCCCGCATTGGCGAATATGATTATATTTGAGCCGTGTCATGACAAAACCATCATGATGGGTTTGCGACCAGCATGGATCCAGACCAGCCTGCGCATCCGCGCAGTCTGATCAGGATCCATGCTGTTCGCTATCAGTTTTTCTACTTGTAATAGAGTTGGTAAGCGAATAGCATGGATCCTGATCAGACTGCGCAGGCTGGTCTGGATCAATGCTGGTCGCAAACCCATTATGCTGGTTTTGTCGTGACGAGGCTCATTTGTATTTCTTCAGAACTATTCTAAAAATCGTTACTTTATTGGGGAGAGGCGAGGGGGGGGGGGGGGGGGGGGGGGGGGGGGGGGAGAGGGTTCAAGTTTGTTGGTTTGTCTGTTTGTTGTTGTTGTTGTTTGTTTGTTGTTGTTTTTGTTTTATGTTTGTCTGTTTTAAATTTTTCAGATTTGGATACTATTGATAATCTAAAATTTGTTTTCAGATACAATTTGGACATTTTATACAAATCAAGCTTGTGTATAAACGTATATAATGCTGGCATTTTATAATATTAATATACTGATACTTAACTTCTTCACATCTCGATTGTGTACTTGTATTTAAAAAAGAAGAGAAATTTGTACAAGTTAATAAGATATTTAAGATGGTAAATGAAGAATTCATGTGAGCAATTTACAAGAAAAAGGCAGTGTGAACAAAAGTTAATCACGAAAGAATTTTTTTTTCTGAAATTGTTTTATCTTTATGCTCCAGGTTTTCATAGGAAAATCCCCTTGCAAATTCCGGATATTTTTTGCTCTGTTTTGAATAATAGCCGTGTGACAATCGTGGTTACATAAAAGCTAAACCATTTTTATTTGAAAGACGATACTTGCATATGTCAACGTCCATCTTTTAATATATTCAATGACCTGAATTATGCAAGTACATTTAGTCGTATTTGATATATTAAAATAATGGTGAATATTTTTTTACGATAAACAGACAAATCAGTCAAGTATGACAATTCGTTATTCATTTTCGATTTTACTGTGTTACACTGTCACTCACATCTAGCATGTATGGGATTTAAGGATTTTAGCCACGTCACGACAAAACCAACATAGTGCGTTTGCGACCAGCATTGATCCAGACCAGCCTGCGCATCCGCGCAGTCTGATCAGGATCCATGCTGTTCGCTTACAAACCCTATTACAAGTAGAGAAACTGACAGCGAACAGCATTGATCCTGATCAGACTGTGCGGATGTGCAGGCTGGTCTGGATCCATGCTGGTCGCAAACGCACTATGTTGGTTTTGTCGTGACGTGGCTTAATTTATTATACTTGAAGAACTGCACGTGCCAAAGTGCGAAACATTGTTACAAAATAAATCATCGTTCAGTATGAAAATGCATGTTAGATAAAAACACTACATAAAAGAAAACGGTTTAAGGACTTTTAACCATATTTTCACTTGTTTTGCCATATGTAATAAAAACGTCGCATAAAACTTGATATAAGGGATAGTATTTCTTTTAATGTACACGTTTTGAATTAAGTTATATATAGACACTAGTAAATAAGTTATGTTGATATGACTATGGCTGAAAGATACTACTGTGACCATTGTACCGTAGCTGTATCAGTTACCCATCTTTTTTACCCAATGAGTCATTTGAAAACGTCAGACTTATTGTGATTTTGCTTATTTGAAGGGATTATTTAATAATACGCCGCGTCTATTTGGATAAATCTCGCGCAAAATCAAAAAGTAGGTCATCTAGCTTACCAATAAGAAGCTTTTTTTTTATTACAGTTTCGAAAGAAACATTTTAGTTCAACCACGAACTATAAATGAACGAGTAACGGAAATTAATTGTTAAGCAAAAAGTTGCTATTGTAGTAAGTTGGAATAAACATTTTAAATTTATTTATATTTGAGATCAGTGAAAAAAGTTATATTGACAAGTTAATTAGGATGTATGTTAAAGACTCTTGATACGAAATCTAGTGCGACACTCGTTTATACAAAGTATTGTAAAGTGTAATGTGCTAAGTTGAACTTATCATGTAAATAATTAAACAATATGAAGTACTTATTACTGCTAGCGTATTATATATATCTCATTAATGCAACAAATTTAAATCATGAACCTGAGGAATATTGTCAGTCTAAACATAAAAATGTGTTGGATTGTTCAGGTAATGAAAATTTGACATTATTGAAAATATGTGACTTTGTTTTTAATGTTTCTGTCCGAGCCAATTTTACAGTATTGTACCTCGAACGGAATGGATACGAAACAATCACACGAGAGGACGTAAAAGGTTGCAGGTCTATTATAGACTTGCATATTGGAGAAAACAAAATAAGAAATATTGAAGAGCTTTCTTTCGCAAACTTTAGCCATCTGAGGCTGCTTAACTTAAGCTTCAACAGGTTGGATATTTATAATGACAATATGAAATTGGGATTTACACTTCCAAAGACGCTACAACAGTTGACGCTAAACGGGAATCTGAATTATTCCAAAGAAAGTGATCAAGAATATCCAAATTTATCGGATCTTTCTCGTTTGGAAGTACTGACCATAGATGGACTCCAAAATAAACATTTTCCTATATCTTATCGGGAAATGGAAACATTACATACTGTATCATTGTCAGGGTTGACAGCAGGGATGACAGGAATTTGCAATATTATGTATGTAACGAACACCACATTTCAAAATCTTATTCATGTTAGAATCTTGAATGTGTCGTATTGTGCAATACTTAACATTCATGCTGGAGCATTTGAAAATCTTCTTAATTTAGAAGTTTTAGATTTGTCTGGGAATTTTCAACTTGGATTCCATAATTTGAGAAACGTATCTTACAGTTTGCAATTCACGAATATCAAATCGTTAAATTATTCTCACGTTTATACAACATTTGGGATAGGAAATCAAGTCAGTATTGAAGACATGTGTTACCTCTGGAATACTTCAATCACTGAACTTGTTTTAAATAGTAATAAAATTGAGTTAATTGAAAAGAACGCCCTGATATTGGTACCAAACACTTTAGAAATTTTTCGAGCAGAAGATAATAAGTTCACCTTCGGTCCATATTTTCTTCAGTTAGGGTGCTTCACAAATGTAAAAGAATTCTATGGAAATTACCAAAATATTGCTCATGATCCGACTTTATATGAAAAAGAACCTAAAAGAAGTATTCCTGAAATGATTACCACTACTTCAACTTGTCCATTTGCTCAAGCAAAGTTTCTTCTGAAAATGAGCGAAAAGAAAGGGAACGAATGTCACTACTTTGACGAAGATGACAATTATTTGAGAATTAATCTACCGATATTTCCAAAACATCTGACAAGATTAGAATATTCTAATTGTAACATGCAGTACAACTTATCGAGTTTCCTGATACTTCCAACGCCTCATCCAATTGAATACATTGATGCTTCGGCTAACATTCTTTACTCTTGGGTTGGACCGATTGGCCCGTTTCCAAATATCACATATCTGAAGTTATCGCGCAATTATTGCTCCCATGTTGGGTTGAATTTCTTTGACGGTTTTATTAACGTTGAAAACCTACAGCTTCAAGAGAACTTTCTTGGATTAGTTCTTTCGAATGATGATTATGGACCTTTTATATTTAACAAGTTAGCGAATGTTAAGTTTTTGAATTTATCATCAAACATTATTTCAAAGCTACATGAAAATGTATTTTTTAACATGTCTCAACTCGAGACACTAGACCTCAGTGTAAACAACATTGAATCATGGACTGCTGAGGTTACTGATTTAAACAATCTGATACATTTAAACTTGAGATTGAACTCTATTCATTTGCTCCCGCGCAAACTGATGGAGAAAATGGAATCAAACGCAAAACGTTTACACAAGCACTTTACAATTGATCTTACAAACAACTCATTGCCAATAGGTTGTGATTCTAAGCAAATTGACTTTTTAAAATTTTTGGTAAAGTATCGGAGAAACATGAAAAATTTCGATAATTACTCATTCCAGAACAAATATGGTGACAGTATAAATGCAGAAGAATTTATAAAGGAAGTGATCAACCTTGATAAGAATTGTCGAAAATACGATTTAGTAATTGTTGTCTGTTCAATTGGAATATCTGTGTTCCTTTCGGTTGTTATTGGTGGGATGGTTTACAGAAATAGATGGAAATTAAGGTACCTAATGCGGATGACAAAAATAAAACATTTTGGTTATACTAGACTAGATCACCAGTCAAACGACGTGTTTATGTACGATGCGTTTATATCATATGCTAACGAAGATTTACGTTTTATTCTTGACAAGATGATCCCAAAACTAGAAGAACAACACTTAAAATTGTGCTTGCATGACAAACATTTCTTACCTGGCAACGATATTGCTGACAATATTATCCAAGCCATTAGGAATAGTGCAAAGACTGTGGTCGTTCTATCGAAAGAGTTCTTGAAAAGAAAATGGTGTGTGTATGAGTTTAATATGGCGAGAATGGAAAGCATTTACTCTCGAGGAGGGACTAATTGCCTTATTATTATTGTCCTAGAAGATGTACCGGCTAGGAACATGTCAAATGAAATGTTGGACTGGATGAAATCAAACACGTTTATTGAGTACACAGCAGATGCTGAAGGGGAAATTTTATTTTGGGACAATTTTCTGCTTGCACTGAACAAGTAAATGCTAATGCTGAATACATTCAGATCTGTTCAATATTATCAAACTTTTTCGACAAAATAAAATGATTTCGTTTTATTACTATCAATTGTTGATAAGGATTGCTGACCGCGTGGGTGTTAAACCCTGTCGGGGAAAAGCCGTTGTTTCCTTGAGCAAGAATCTTTACATTCATTGCTTAGTACTGGTTGGTTCCAGGAACGGATTCGAGAGTGCTTCAACACAATCGAACTAAAATAAATTTGTATAAACTTATTGTTGATTTTACATAAAACAATTCAAATTAGAAGTAGGTGTATAGAGTTTTCTTTTTATTTTACAACTTTTATAATTCTGGGAAGGGCTTATTCTAATGTTGCTAGAAATTGTTGCCTTACCCATTTGCATTTTGTTATATACTTATCATTTGTATAATATTTTTTAAATGTATTTGATGCAATAGATTTTATTTTAATATAATCAATAAATGTAATGTGTAAATGTGCGTTTGGGTATGAAAGCGTGCATAATGTGTGTAAGCGATGTTATGTGTGTTCGAGTTAAAGGGATGATATATTCATTTGCTTGTGTAACCTAACACGGAGTGCTTTTACCGTTGCATGCACGTGCAATTAGCACATACAGTCAAAACTCTCTTCAATAGCCAGCCAAGGGATGCAGTCATTTTGGCTGCTTAAGACAGGGTGGCTGCTGAATGGAGGATCACGTAATTTTTTCAATATACATAATGTATTATCTTTATATCTTTATGTTAAGCAATACTATCTTTTACTTATGTGTTAACCAAATGTACATGTATTTTTACTATGTCATTATTTCTCCTTTAAAGTAAATGAAATGGATATGTTAATTGCATGTATATCAAATGATTTATTCAACCCAACTCTTTCACTGCAGATACTAGTTTTTGAATGTTCCCATAACTTGACAAATGACATTCACAGCGCACATGTTTAGTTTATGCAAATATTATAAGTGATAACTATTAACTTGTTAAGTTGTTCATTCGACTTTAATTGACATTTAGGATTATAGAGTTAATTCTCATTTGCTACAATGCAATCACGTGACGCACCAAATAACAAGAATTTTCTATAAATACATCCAACATTTAAGTTTATAAAGTTAAAGTATGTAAAGTTCTACAATATATGATGTCTGCAGCTAAAACAAGGAATACACTCTATAATCTAAAATGTGAATATTTTTCTGAACAAGACAAAATGTCGGAAGCGTAGAAAAACGTTTATTTTTATTTCATTGATTGTATGTGTATGTACTTTACAAATTGTTTTGACAGAGAATAACTTCAAAATATACGAAATGAAAAAAATATTTTCCCAAGAGTGAATAGTGGCGTGTATTGCTAGACGGTAAAAGCTCTGCTGAAAATAGCAGCATTATAGTTCGTGCTGGTGAAGCTGTTAGTCTTTTTACGTACAATATTTATGTGTGTTTAATAACAGAGATATTTTACTTCACAACCATTCCGAGAATCAGCTATTGCATTATAGAAACAACATACCCTTTATCCTTTACATATTTTATAAAATAAATATGTCAAGGGATATAGCTTTACATTGCCATTAATAAACCTAATATGTTAACACTCAAACAAACAATCCCTGTTATATAATAACTTCAAATATTAATTCACATATTCGCTTTCAGTATTTGCAAAAGAAGAATGTTATACATATCACAAAATGTTATATTTAAAAAAAAAGATAAGCAAATTATGAGTTATATATTAATAAAATAAGAAAGATAGAAAATTCAGCAGTATTTTTCTTTTACAAGTATAAACCTAAACACGACAAAATAGATAAATGTTGTGTTGTTGTTAATGTTGGTTTTTTTGTTGTTGTTTTGGGGTTGTTAATTTTTTTTTTTTTGTTTTTGTTCTTGTTTCAACATCTCGACCTCATTTCGTACACAACCAATTATGATGAAAAATCACTCTCTTAATGACTTCCGTTCGTAAAATGTTTTCATTTATTTATATGACTACAAATCTAAAATAAGTGATCCACTAGGAAGCAATTGAAACTATAGTAATATGAAAATTGCATAGTCGACAGTTTGATTGGGTATGTTCGTAAGAGATTATGATGTAAAAGTGGTGCACCTCACACGTCCCTAGCATCGGATTAGACGATTTTTAATCTTCAATATTAACGTGCTGGAATCAATAATATCGAAGGACCAGAAAAATAATATCAACACTAAAATGAAGTACAGGGTGACATTTTACAGCTGCCACACGGCACTTGAATTCTACTTATCTAAACCTACTTATCAGTACTTGACATAGTATTTAAAAAAACTAAATGAATAACTAAAAAAAAACAAAACATCTCAGCATTAATTAAGATATGAGCCTTGTCACGACAAAACATACATAATGGGTTTGCAACCAGCATGAATCCAGACCAGTCTGCGCATCCGTGCAGTCTGATCAGGATCCATGCTGTTCGCTTACAAACCGTATAACAAGTAGAGAAACTGATAGCGAACAGCATGGATCCTAATTAGACTGCGCAGATGCGCAGGCTGGTCTGGATCCATGCTAGTCGCAAACTCATTATGTTGGTTTTGCCGTGACACGGCTCAAATGTGTGTGTGGGCGTTGCCAATTATATCAAAAATCGTGTGAGAAGATTTAATATTCTAGATAACGGTTTGGCATTGCAGTGTATTTTGAATCTAATTTTTCTCACTTTTTTCCACATGTATTTCTCCTTAATTAAATTAAGTTAATTGATTTTAAGAAATCAGGTAAAATCGTTTTAGTTGCCATAGTGAAACATTTACTGAGTGTCAACTGGTATGATAAGATATACTTTCAGAAAAATGGAATGTTTCGTCTTTTTTTCCCACTTCCTTTCTTGCCGTCAGTATTTGTCAAAAAAAGTTTCGATTTCTGCATTTAACTCTTTATTTTCCGTTGAGAAAGTCATAGAAGGGTTTGTAAATTTATGGCTAAGTATAAGACAACCTGTTTCTATAAAAGTTAGATAAACATTGGGATTGAAATTGCTCTGCTATTATACAAACTTAACCAACACAGACGATCCTAAAGGGATAAAATTTGTCTTCTACTTATAATATAATTATGTATAGGAATCTTGCTGAGGTCTCTAACCTCGTTTTCACAGATGATTCCAGAACAAATCAAATAAATTTAAACAAATAATGTTTAAACTAAACCTCACTCATTTTTCCAAAATAAGTAAGTACTTAATACGTAAATAAATAAATAAATAAATAAATAAATAAATAAATAAATGAATAAATGAATAAATAAATGAATAAATGAATAAATGAATAAATGAATAAATGAATGAATAAATGAATGAATGAATAAATGAATGAATAAATAAATAAATAAATAAATAAATAAATGAATGAATGAATGAATGAATGAATGAATAAATAAATAAATAAAAAAATAAATAAATAAATAAATAAATAAATAAATAAATAAATAAATAAATAAATAAATAAATAAATAAATAAATAAATTTAAATAAATAAATAAATAAAACAAATAAATAAAGAAAAAAAGAAAGAAAGAAATTAAAATGAAAATAAAGAAAGAAAGAAAGAAAGAAAGAAAGAAAGAATATAGATAAATAAATAAATAAATAAGTAATATAGAAATGAAACAAAACAGTAAAAAAAGGCACAGGCATGTTGACACCCACAGAAAAGTCATCGAATTGAAATGGAAAGTCAAAATAAAAGAGGACATATTATATATTGTTAATAAGCTTGCGGAAAAATAGACTGATAGTCCTCAAATATTGTTGATAAGCTTTGTTTGTCAGTCGTGAACGGCTGATATAGCTGTCGTAATGACAGCTTGGAATATTGCTACTATCTTACTTTACTAGTAAGATTTGGTAATTATTGTTAAATTGATCAGATGACTATTCGTGCATGTAATAAGGCAATAGTCTTCTTGCACTAAGTTTTCTTTGCAATTACTCTAACTGTACAAGGTCAAGATAATCGACTTAAGAATATATCATTTATCTGCAAAATAGTATTAGAAATTGAAAAAACTACAAAAAAAAACAAAAAAAACAACAACAACAAAAAACAACAAAAAAACAAAAACAAAAACAAAACAAACATATTATGTAAAATCTTTTACCCCTTAAAGCGCGAGTAAAACAATTATTTCCTTATCAAAGTCGTCAAACTGTAAATATCCTTAACAGTGATAAAACCTAATACATTCTTTACACTGAATATATAATTAATATAAAACAAGACACACGTAGGAATATGGCTTATTATTGACAATTCATTTCAAAATCAAGATATATCGCCTGGCGTCTGTAATACGTCATCGCTATCATGGACTAAAGAAAGCATTCGTCGAATTGGAAAATCAGCTCAATATGCACAAAAAATAAAGTACATCGAAGAACCAGAAAATGACGAAAGCCACATGAAAGCATCGGATGAAGGAAAACTGAAACGAAAAACTTATTATTAAAACTTGAACAAATCCGATCTATATATACATTATAACAAAAATTGTCAGTTATAAGATGTTCTAATTAAGATAAATTGGTTGGGTGGGTAGGAATTACTAAAAAGATATGTTTCGCTACCAATGTAAAAGCCTCGAAAGGCCTAAAACACGCCGAGTTGTGCTTTTTTACTCAGCACGAGAAAAGCGAGCATTTTCCCGCCAATATTTATACGCTAAATGAATATGCAAAACATAAGCAGACGACATTTTACCGACTTTTAAACGGAAATAATTATATTACTCCTTAAAACGCGAGTAAAACTATCATTTCCTTATCAAAGTCGTCAAACTGTAAATATCCTTAACAGTGATAAAATTTACACTGAATATATAATTAATATAAAACAAGACACAAATAGGAATATGGCTTATTATTGGTAGCAAAACAATACATTACACACCTCCTCTATTGTTTGTGACAAGTCTATATTTTTCGGATAGACCTGTTTAAACAAAAGAAAGTCCGTTATGAGGTCTATCTTTTGCACGTGCACAGGTCTGTTCTAGTCAGACAGACCCGGTCATGAAAAACACGTGAAAAAATAGACCTGCTTATGCGCAGACAAAGAAAACATGAAATGCAATCAAAAATTGAAAATGAAAATAAAATGTAAACGATTGTCATAATATTCCTGTCTTACAAAATCTGGATACATTCTTTTAAACAAGATAATGTTCCCCTGAAAACCTTCGAATCCAGGGCTTAGTTTCAAAGAATGCTACACTACAACGTTAAAGGTATAATCCAAAGCTAGCTTATAATGACATGCATATACAAGTACTTAAAGTGGATTGGTCTATATTGGGCACATCTCCCATTAGTTATTAAAATAGCGATAGAAACGATTCGGATATTATTATAAGAAATCTTGAAAAAGAAATGTTAATGCAAAGTTATAAGTGATTTAGTATAACGATTTATATGATGAGCGATCATACTTTATTCTATAACTCTTTATACGATCATCTTCAAATGTATCTCACACTTGCCAACAAGAAACATATGTAAGTATTTTCCTGGTCTGCTGGGTATCCGGACATTTGCCCTCAGACAGTTGTTCCCTCGGAAGTTTTCTCCATTTTTTCAGTAGCGGACATTTGCCCCTTCATATCTTTGGAAGGGTTGGACGTTTGCTTCCCCCCACCATGTTTTAAAAATGTTGAAAATTAATTTTTGAATTGTTTATCGCATTTTGTCGAAATTCTAATTGTGCTTAAATAAACAAAAACTGCGCAAATTTGTAAAAACAAAAAAAACATAAACAAATAAAATACAATACATAATATTCATACACGAGATTACCTCTACAAGTAACAATTTGCCACAGCATAAAGGGGGCACTCGTCCGAGAGGAAAACTGTTCGGGGGAGGGGGCAAATGTCCTAGAATTTGCAATGTCTTATACGAAATACAATCAACATAATTATTCATTCTTTAACAAACCTTCCATTACAGACCCATTCTCTTTATTATTGACAAATTGCACATTTACATTTTTTATTATTTTTTAAAGGGAAAAGCAGTGTTAAATGCAAGATATATATATTATATTTAAGCAGAACGTTGATAGAAGCTTACCTGTAAATGAGCGGTGTTAAAAAAATAATCTTTGTGCATTACATCAAATGTTTCAGATCAGCCATTACTCAAGCAATTACTTTGACGGTGTGTAAGTTGGATATCGGCCTCGTACATCGATCTTTCTGTTTAGGAAAAACCTGGTCACGAATTTCATGAAACACCTCGAGCGCTACGCGCTCTCGGTGTCACATGAAATTCGTGACCAGGTCTTTCCTAAACAGAAAGACCTCGTACTCGGTCGATATCCTATACATACAATACAACATTCTTTTATTTCGTCAAGGTTACATTTGTAAGAACTGACATTACAATAATCAAGTAAATAAATACATGTGTGGGTATCAAATAGAAAACAATTATATGTTTTACGTCAAATATGATAGATAATAGAAACATTTTTTTAACCTTAAAACTTAACATAAAATTAAGTATGGGGACAGCAATATTTAACTGTCTAATTTCTATAGGAGATTAAAGCACGTGGAAAGCGTGTAAAACTTATTTACGTCATTCATTACTGTTACTATGGAATGTCATTGACTGTCTGAGTAAAATACTATTTCAAAAAGTAAAACTAACGTGTAAATGTGTTCATGATGTGCGCTATAAATATGCTAAGATTTTTTAGGATTTCGCTGTTACTGCTTTTAAGAAGTTCTTATATTTATTGATATTTGGATAACTGTGAAAATAATTTGAAATAAGCTGCTTTCTTTTTTCGGT